CCTCCCGACCCCGCCCGAGTCCTCCCGACCCCGCCCGAGTCCTCCGAACTGTCGGCCCTGGGGCCGTGCACCGGGGTCACCACAGGACCCTGCTTGGACTGAGGCCTTGGTTGTGAGTCACCAATGTGACGTCTGCGTGTCTGAAACACGCAAGGACCGAACAGGAAGTGTGACACTTGTGAAATGTGTGTGCGACTCGCTCAGGTGTGGCCTCTCTCGACTCCACCGAAGCCTGGGTGTGAACTCGGAGCGCTTGTGCGCTGTGTGTGTAACACCAGCAAACGCTGCTGTGCCACACCTCAGCGCGTGTGTGTGTGTGTGCGTGTGTGTGTGTGTGTGCGTGCGCGTGCGTGTGCGTGCGTGTGTGTGTGTGTGTGTGTGTGCCTGCCTGCTGCACGAGTGTGAGGACCTGAGCTCAGATCCCCAGCACCAGCGTGAAAACCGGGCACAGCGGGGGGAGCTGTCACTGCAGCCCCGGACCCCAGCCAATCCGTGAGCTCCGGGCTCAGTGAGAGACCGGGGTGGGGGCCCGGGGGGGGGGGTTCGGACCTCTGACGGCGGCGGGGTGGATCCGAGCTCAAGGCCCAGCGGACGGCAGTGCAGAGAGAGAGAGAGAGAGGGAGAGGAGGAGATGACAGGACAGTAACTTAGGAAGACACCCAACACCTTTTCACCCACGTGTGCACACAAACGTATCCACAGACACACACAGGTAAAATATCTTGCACTCCTGTGGAAAACAGTGGTCTAGTTGTGGAAAGCAGAGGTTTCACATTCCCTTGCCAAACCGGACCACGTCGGTGTATTTTCAGTTGTGTCGTGAGACACACAAGCGCGCCCGCCTCGCTGGTTATAAATCTGCTTTCACTCTCCGCAAACCGTGAAACTGTGTCTGTGCGCAGGTAGCTGTTAGAAAGCAAATGTCTCTGTGATTCGCTGTGAGTTAGCGTTTGATGTGTGGGTCGCTGGGCCGTCTAAAAAACGTCAGGAATGACAAGTTCAGCGCGGGCGACTGCAATTCACGCGAGGGACCACGTTCCACCCCAGCAGGCAGCGTTGGCCAAGTGGTTCTGGCTGCAGCGTCGTGAAGGGGGTGTGGAATCTTCCTCTGAGGTTAAGGGACGCGGCGGAGGTCGGCTGTGTGCGGGGTCAGTGTGTGCGGGGCCGGTGTGTGCGGGGCCAGTGTGTGCGGGGCCGGTGCGCGCGGGGCCGGTGTGTGCGGGGCCAGTGTGTGTGCGGGGCCGGTGTGTGCGGGGCCAGTGTGTGTGCGGGGCCGGTGTGTGCGGGGCCGGTGTGAGGCTGCGAGGATGAGTTGTGTTGGGGACCCGGAGATGCTGGAGATGTCAGAGCCCTGTGAAGTCGGTGCCGCTGGCCAAGGAGCACAGCAATAGAGAAAGAGCGAAGACAGCCCATAAGTGCAGGCAATTCAAGACATGTGAAAATGTGACGTGTGTGTGTGTGTGTGTGTGTGTGTGTGTGTGTGTGTGTGTAGGTGCACATGTGTGCAGTGCACACACACGTGCAGGGCAGAGGTTAACCGGCAGCGTCAGTTCTCAGGAGCCAGTCACCTTATCTGTCCTGCCGGGTCTCCTGAACCTCGCTGTTTGGCTAGGCTGGTTGCCCAGGGAGCCTGGGACACTGCCTTGTCCCTGCATCCTCAGTGCTGGGGTTCCAGAGGCTCAGACCACACACCACACACCACACACCACACACCACACACCACACACCACACACCACACACGGCTTTTCCATGGGTGCTGGGACTGAACTCAGGTTCTTTTTTTTTTTTTTAAGAATTTATTTATTTTTATTTGTTTTGCCTGCATGTGTGTCTGTGTGAGGGTGTCAGATCTTGGAGTTACAGACAGTTGTGAGCTGCCATGTGGGTGCTGGGAATTGAACCCGGGTCCTCTGGAAGAGCAGTCAGTGCTCTCGACCACTGAGCCGTCTCTCCAGCCCCGAACTCAGGTTCTTATGCAGCAAGCACTTTACGTGGCTGTGCTGGATCCCCCACCCTGAAAGGTGACGTTTCAATATACTGGAGGCCAGACGGAAGAGGACAAGGATTCCTGGGAGAGGAGAGCTGAAGGAAACCCGATCACCTCAGCTCGCTGGCCTGAACGGACTTTCTGGAAGCCGTGCGGAGAGGTGAAGGCTCCCTGAGTTGAGGGGGGGCTGCGATGAGAACCCCGAGAGGGATGGAGCCACCTGGACTTTGTGGTGTGGAGCTTCGTGAGCAGAGAGCGTGCTGGCCGGTTTTACGCCCACTGGACCCCACTGGAGCCAGTGGAGAAGAGGGAGCCCCGGTTGAGGAAATGCCCATAACAGTGGTTCTCGGCCTTCCTAACGCTGCGACCCCGTTCCTCATGCTCTGGGGACCCCCAACTGTAAACTTTTGGTTGTTACTTCATAACTGCAACTTGGCTACTGTTATGAGTCGGAATGTAAATACCCGTGTTTTCCGATGGTCTCAGGCAACCCTTGTGAAAGAGTCTCTCGACCACCAAAGGGGTCAATGACCCACAGGTTGAAAACCGCTGCTCTGTGAGGTCAGGCTGTGGGCAAGCCTGTAGAGTATTTTCTTAATTAGTGGTTGATGTGGGAGGGCCTGGCTCATTGTGGGTAGAGCCGCCCCTGGGCCGTTGGTCCTGGGTTCTAATAAGAAAGCAGGCTGAACAGCCATGAGGAGCAAGACAGTCAGCAGCACCCTCCATGGCCTCTGCATCGGCTCCTGCCTCCAGGTTCCTGCCCTGCCTGAGTTCCCGTCCTGACTTCCTTCCATGACCGACAGTGATGTGGAAGTGTGAGCCAAGTGAGCCCTTGTCGTCCCAGGTCGCTTTGGTCATGGTGTTTCATCACAGCGACAGAAACCCTCACTAGGACAGAGAGACCCAGAGAGATGGGTGCGGGCTTCTCCTTGGGGGTGATTAAACTCGGGGCTAGTTAGTGCTCAACTCTGAACAAAGTACCCGAGACCAGAGGACAGTGTAGGAAAAGATGAGAAAGAACGGGAACTCGTTGTCACATAGGGAATAGCGCTGCCACCGTGGGTCAGGCTGGAGAAGCCTGTGTCTCATGGGGTGCTGAAGGAAGGACCCGGGATGACTGTGCTTCACTAATAGTGAATGGCAGCAAGGTGTGATGACTCAGAACCCCAATCCTCAGTACACAAGAGGCTGAGTCAGGAGTGTCACAAGTTCGAGGACAGCCTGGCCAACTTAATGAGATTCTGTCTGAAAACAGAGGTTAGAAGAGATTGGGGAAGCAGGATGGGCTGGGGTGTGGCTCAGTGGTAGAGCACCTGCCTAGAATCCCCCAGTGAGGGGCTGGGGTGTGGCTCAGTGGTAGAGCACCTGCCTAGAATCCCCCAGTGAGGGGCTGGGGTGTGGCTCAGTGGTAGAGCACCTGCCTAGAATCCCCCAGTGAGGGGCTGGGGTGTGGCTCAGTGGTAGAGCACCTGCCTAGAATCCCCCAGTGAGGGGCTGGGGTGTGGCTCAGGGAGAGAGAGTGCTTGCCTAGTGTGTGCTAAGGCCCCCAGGGTTCAGTCTCCAGCACTGCCCCCCAAATTATTAGCTATGATAATTCTTTTGGACAACTTTAAACAGCATGATGCATGAATAATTTAAATTCAAGAAAAGTAAGGGAACCAAAAAGTATGTAAACAATAATGTCCTTCAAAATAACAAACACGAAATAACTCTAAGTTCACTCGCTCAAGAAGTTCAGCTCCTTCCCAACACAAAACACCGAGGAAATGTCTAAAATGTTCCCTATTCTATAGCTATTTAAAGGAAATTTCGTCAGCAACTGGCTTCAGTGTGTTTCACAGCTTAGACTGAAAGAAGAGATTTCCCGAAAGACACACAATAAAAGCTCCCTCAGAAAGAAACAGATTGGGGGTCAGCAAGATGGCTCATTACATAAAGGAGAGTGCCTCCAAGCCTTACAGTCTGAGTTCAATCCCCTGCCAGCCCAGCCCTTGGGAGGTGGAGACAAGGGAATCTTTTTTTTTTTTTTTTTTTTAAGACTCTATTATGTATATAGTGTTCTGTCTGCATGTATCCCTGCAGGCCAGAAGAGGGCACCAGATCTCATTACAGATGGTTGTGAGCCACCATGTGGTTCCTGGGAATTGAACTCAGGACCTCTGGAAGAGCAGCCAGTGCTCTTAACCTCTGAGCCATCTCTCCAGCTCAGGGAATCTTAAGTTCAAGGTGAACCTTAAGTACGTGGCGAGTTTGAGGGCAGGTGAGAGTCCTCAGGCCCGTCATCTGAGGACTGTGAACTTACTGGAACCTCTCAGTTCCGAGGACACTGTTGGACAGGTCAGGGGTGATGGAAAAAGCGTCCTGAGGGAGGACAAGATGGCCCGGCTGCTCCCAGAACTAATTGTTTTTACAGCAGAGATGGACCAAAGGTCCAGGCTCGGAACAGGTTTTTCTGGAACCACCCAGTGTGTCCTGGCCTGACACCCACAGGGAAGTCCACGGGTTCACCTCAGTCACCCCACGCCATCCTCAGTAGCCCTGACCTCGCTCGCTCCTCAGTAGCAG